CTGGTTTTAGTAAATGACCTTGCAGATTCAGATTTTTCAAGGATATACATTCAGCATTATTGAAGACCATGTGTAGAAGCACCAGTCCTGGCCGGCACCGCGGCTCACTAGGCTAATCCTCTGCCTTGCGGCGCCGGCCCACTGGGTTCTAGTCCCTGTCAGGGAGCCAGATTCTGTCCCGGGTGCCCCTCTTCCAGGCCAGCTCTCTGCCGTGGCCAGGGAGTGCAGTGGAGGATGGCCCAAGTCCTTGGGCCCTGCACTCCATGGGAGACCAGGATAAGTACCTGGCTCCTGCCATCGGATCAGCGTGGTGTGCCGGCCGCAGCGCGCCGGCCATTGGAGGGTGAACCAACGGCAAAAGGAAGACCTTTCTCTCTCTCACTGTCCACTCTGCCTGTCAAAAAAGTAAAAACAAACAAAACACCAGTCCCTGTGGTATGGGAGGTAAAGCCACAGCCTTCATCCCATATGGGTGCAGGTTCATGTGCTGATTGCTCCACTTCTGATCCAACTCCCTGCTAATGCACGTGGGAAAGCAGCGGAAGGTGGCCCAAGCACTTGGGTTCCTACACCCATGTGGGAGATCTGGAAGAGGCTCCTGGCTTTCAATCAGCCCAGTTCTGGCCATTGCCATTTGGGGAGTGAACCAGTGGGTAGAAGAACTCTGTCTCTCCTTCTGTTATCTCTGCCCTTCAAATAAATCTTTTTTAATTCTAAGATCAATGCATTTAAAAAAAAGTTCATTATTAGAGCAATAAGTCCAATCTAAGAGGTCAGTTCTTCCTGATTTGTTAATGCCTCTCTTGCAGCTGGGCCTGGATTCCACCCAGAGTCATTTCTGTTTCTCCACTTAGCAGTCCATTTTTGTTGCCAGATCATTCTCAGGCTTGAATACATATAAAATGGAGTGTTCTTTATTCAAAACTAAGAATTCCTTTCTTGACTAGCAACTTCTCAGCCTTCCTTACATTTAAGGTACTCTGTGTTTTCCAAATACCTGTTCTATGCTACCCTAAGTTGCAGCCCACTAGGCCACCTCTGCAAGTGTTGATCTATTTGGGATGCTCAGTTCCTCCTTCCCGACTCACTGAAATCCAATTCCAAGTGACTCACAGTGGAACTCAACCCCAGAGAACCTGACAACACTTTTACCCTACTGTATTCCCTTCTCAACCACACATTTGTCTAACTTCCAACTACAGAATAAGCACCTGAGGAACTCAGTTTTCATCATTGCTATCCCCTCTTCAAATCATCATCTATGCAAGAATGCTCAACAGAACCTCTCTTTAAAGGTATTCCCATCTCTGGGAAAGCAGATGGCCCAAGTCCCAAGTCCTTGGGCACCTGCACCTGCGTGGGAGACCCAGGGGAAGTCCTGGCTTTGGATCAGCACAGCTCTGGTCATTGTGACCATTCAGGGCATAGACCAGTGGAAGGAAGATCTCTCTCCCTCTCTTTGCCTCTGCCTCTTGTTAACTCTGCCTTTCAGATAAATAAACAAATCTAAAAAAAATAAAAGTACTGCCATCTTTCAACAGACAAGAGCACCACCCTGGCTACGGTAAGGGAGCCTAGCCTGGAAGCTCAACAGCCGAAACAGAGTGGTTGCCCACAAAAATAACCAGGTGGAGAATTAAATAAGCATAACATTTACAAACTAAGGATCTGTACTCAAAAAAACCTGTTTGCTTCTGTGACCTGAGGACAAACCACTTCTACTTAATTTCTTCCTAAACAAAAGCCAATACATGTTTACTTCACAGGGCAGAAAAAGATAAAATGGGTAGAAATGCAAAGGCCACCTCCAAGAGAATGTAGCCTCTGCTGTTACAGCACCTTTCTTTCCTAGAACCACATGTTCTAAGGCAAGGCCTCACTGAGCACTCCTTCCACACAGGGAGAGCCAGCTCTGCACAGCTTTTTGGAGTCACACAGCAATTACTCTTTCAATTTACAATCTATGAAAACATCTCATCCTCAAGTCAAACACACATTTACCTCTTCTAACCGTCCTCTAGGTGTGCTTAATCCAGCAGAGGGAAACATTTCTTACCTCTCACCTGGAAAGCTGGCAGTGTCATTTCAATAGAATGAAGCAAATTCACGGCAAAAGAGTTAAGATATCCAGGAAAGACTTCATTCTGTAATTACTATGTAATAGAAAGAGCCTCAATTATACACAACCACAGAAATGAAGATTCTGAAGTGCTAAACCAGATGTTAAAGTTGGTCGTGCATTTTACTCAGAATTCCACAGTCGGAATTCCCTCACTGCATATCCCCAAAAAGCTGATTCACTTGGCTTCTTAATCCACAGGTTATCAGATTTTCAAAGTTTTACATAATGGATTTCTCTAATATAGTCTCCAAATCCTGCTTCTTATTCCATTTTATCTCATGACTCGACTATAGGCTATGAAGTCTGTATTTATTACAGTAGAGGCAATTTCCAAGCATGAAAATATCCTTTTCTCTACCAACCATAATTCCCAAAGCTCTGGTCACTTTGCTTTACCATACGCTCAACACGGTTTCAATCTCCTCACTCCCCAAAACTCCTTTTTTGACAAAGCTTGAATTTCTATCATGGCAAGGCTTCAAAGCTAACCTCTTTCAGAAAAGCTTCCAATTCACACTCACAAAATCTTATTCAACGAATAGCATTCGACTGCCATGGGTGGTGCCCTGTGCCAAGTGCCTAGTAGCAGGAATAGGGTGTAGACCCTTTATTTCTGATTCTACTGCTTTCTAATTGTCAATTAAGGCCATTAGTTACACTGTGAAACTGTCCCCTCATCTACAAAACAAGAATAACCAGCACTACTCCAAGTGCTCAAAGGATCAGATGTAATGAACTTTTTTGTTTGGCAGGGCTGAACATAATGTAGCACTCAGCTGAATGACTTCAAGAGTGCAATGGTGAGCAAGTCAGAGAAGATGCCTGATCTAGCTGGATCACTTTTGGCAATCTTCTGTATTCAAAGTTTGCTTTGCCCTAAATGGCCTTTCTCTCAAGACCTAGCATTTTTTTGTAGAATGCACTTAATGCTTATTGACATTGTAAATGTGAACTTTCCCCTCCTAAGTTGCTAGCTCTCTGAAGTACAACCATCTCTAAGGCAAAGACTGGCTTTCTGGAAACTGGTTCAGGATCTTCCAGCCTAAAGGGCTTGCTTTCTTTCCCTAAGCAACTCAAGTATGAAGAGCACACTTTTCAAGCACGTGATTTCTGTTAGACCAGCTGCGCCATTGAGTGTATATACTATATCATACTTATAACTACAGATTGGCAGTAAGGAAGCCATTAAGACTGGCATCTCCAGCTCTAGCCTGGTATTTTATTGGATCCTTATAGAAGCAGAACTCAGAATGTCAGCTCTCCCCTCCCCCCATCTAACCATTTTAGGAGTGGCAATGCTGAAAGATTTATCAGTTCCTACTGACTATTATTGCCCGAAGCAAATTTCAAACCATGAGCCATTTAAAAAAATCAACTGAAATAAGTGCCCAGGGAAACCCTAAGGGCGCCACTATCAATCCAATACAGATGGGCAAATTACAGAATAAGGACCGCTTGCTCTTCAAAGAGGGGCCTGCTCCTCTCCAATGTCAAGCCAGACAGCAATGTTGAGAAGCTCTGATAAATCTGCTGAAAGTTCCAGATCACTGCCTGAAAATGGCAACTCCAGACCATCCTCTCTGCTCCCCTGTGGCCTTACTCCACATTTTTTCACTAACCATCTCTCCGCAGTCAGAAAACTCTGAGAGGAGGCCTTTTTTTTTTTTTTTTTTTTAAGATAAAGTATAATTACGCCAACTGCTTGTGAGTTAATGGATCCATTCAAAAAGTGCAACGGACAAAGCCAGACCGAAGGGCTTTTTATTTCGAAGCGCGAGGGCTGTTGGCTGCTCCACCAACGCGCCTGGATCTGATCCGAAACCGCAAACTGCCGTAACACGGAAAGAAAATGGAAAAAAGAGGCTGCTTGCAACGCTCACGCCATGGCTACCCTTTCTGTCAGCCCTCGAGCTTCGCTCGGCGTCCAGCTTAATTCACACGTCAAGATGGTGACTCCCGGGGGGGAGACACACACAGAGCCCGGGACGTTCCCAGGGCCAGGGGGCGTCTCCACCTCCCGTCCTCACGAGGGCCCAGGCCTCTGGGCCAGCCTCTTTGTCTCCTCCACCAACGCCGAGAGGAAGGAAGGAGGGAGGGAGGGAGTGCGGCAGGGAGGGGAGCGACTCCCTCCCGGCCCCGCCGCCCGATCGAGACCGGGCGGGGAGAGAGAGGAGGACCACCCGCCCGTCCGCCCGTCCGCCCGTCCGCCCGTCCCGCGCTCCGCCGCGGGCAGCGTGCGCGCCGGCCGCCCTCACCTCGTCCTCCTGCTCGCTCCGGAAGCACAGGCACGCCGCCCGCTTCTTGAAGCCCTCGCGGTCATAGGTCCGCGTCTGGTTGGGCTTGAACTTCATCATAGAGGCGGGTTCTTGCTGCCGCTGCTGCTCCGGCCACCGCCGCTGCGGGGGCCTGGCCGCCGCCACCCCGCCGGGGAGTAGGGGCGAGGACGAATCCGGGTGTCGGGGCTCCGGGCGCGCTGACAGGCGAGACGGGCGGCGCGGGGAGCTGAGGCAAGGCCGCTTCAGTCCCGGGGCCGGAGGTCGTTCCGACGCGGTGCGGGAGGTGAGCGCCGGTCACTGCAGCCCGGGGGCCGGGAGGGAAGCGCCGCCTCTGCCTGGGCGTCTGCCGCTCTCCATGGAGCCCGCCGTCCGCTCGCCTCCACTCCCTCTTTCCGCCGTCGCCACCAGGGGAAGAGCCAGGCTCGAGGCTCGCGCCACGCGGAGGCAGTTGCGAAGACCGACGCCGACTGAGCAGCAGCACCGCGGCGGCTGCGCGCCACCCCCTCCGCCCGTATTTAAGCGGGGCCCACACTAGCGCCGCCCCCTCCGCGCGCCATTCTGCGCGCGCCTCTGCGCCTGCGTGCCGAGACCGTTGCCGCCGCCTCCCCCCTCCTCGGGTGGGGAGGGGGGGAGGGCGGGACCACGCTCTTCCGGGCTCGGGATTGGCGGGGCCTCAGGGCTGGCGGCTGAAGCCGGGTGAGGAGTGACTGACCCGGTAAGAAGCCGGCGAGCACGAGAAAGCTGAGACCTCCTTCCTCCCGGTTTATCAGTCCCTCAGCACTCCCCCGCCAGGAGCTAAACACCATCTGCACGAGGCGGGCTGAAGCTGCGGGCTGCCCAGCGAGGGTGCGCCCTGTCAGGGAATTGCCGGGGGGCGTCGCAACGATTGCCAGGTTCTCGTCCAGAATCCGCCCGTGTGGCGCGGGCGAGAGGGAGGACCTTGCCGGCCTTGAGAGGTTCTTAGGCATTGATTGAAGGATTTTTCTTTCGTTCGTTCTTTCCCCGGAAGCGGAGAAGGCAAATTTCTTTTTAAAAAATAATCTTTGGGGGTGGCTTGTATTCTTTCCAGAAGTCAGCTCTAGCCTCAGCCTTGTTTTGAGGCTGTCTACGACGCTCGGCACCTTTGTTTCTCCCTCCAGAATGTGTTGATAATAATGGTCGTGGCTGGTATTTACTGGTTTTTGAGTGTATCTCAGGCTAAGTAACAGGCACAGCTGGATGCTGAGGCCACAACACTCAATAAGTGGAACTTCGGCCATCTGGGAGCTTACAGCCTCTTGGCTGCTTAGGAGAAGCGACCTCCACGTTTCAGAGCGTGGAAGGCTTGCAGGAGCCAGGAGTGTGGCCTGCCGTCAGAGGCTTAGTGCTTAGGTGGGCACCTCCGCTTGTTCCTTAGTTGTTGCTTCCCGGGGACCTACTGTGTACCGGGCCCTGTCCTCTAACAAAAGTAGTTGAGTCCCTGGCCCTCCAGGAAGGTAGGGACCTGAGAACAGATGGTCACACATGAATCAGTGGTGGAATACAAACAAAACTGGATGGTATGCGGTCTAAGGGGGTAGAGGGTTTAGGGGGAGATTTGATCAGATTTTCATGTCAGAAGAGCTGCGGTTGCAGAAGGAGCTCAAGAACTTTCAAGGCGAAGGAACTGAGATTTATGCAGAGCCCAGTGGAGGAGGGAGTGAGAAGAATGCTAAGAACGGAAAGAAAAAGCCCCACGTGGGAGCAGAGGGAGGCCTGAGGGAGGGAAGCTGCTTCCCCCTGAAGCTGAGAGGCCGGTGAGGTCTGGTCGCTCAGAGTCTGGCGACCCTGGGGGAGCTCGGAGCAGGGCGCTGGTCTTCCCAGTCTAGGCTATGACCTCCTTTAGATGGGGGACTGCTGCGTCTAACTCATCCTGTGACCACCAGAACCCAGCAGGTGCAGGTGAATGTTGAATCCGTGATTGAAGGAGTCAGGCTTCACCATGGTGCAAAATCAAGTCCGTGCGCAGGCATTTTCTAAGCCTTTGCTTTCTTACTGAAGCCACTGGAAGTTGAACTATCTCCAGGATTTTTAAACATGGGCAGAACACGTGTAGCTGGGAGCTCCAGGATGGCTAATCTGTTATTTTTAGATAATTGGCTCGCATTGAGAGTCTCACCATGGTCTTTTTTGAATGACAAAGAAGATTGTTTCCCTCTGCCTAAACCCTTTGAATGTCTGGCTTCGGGTCAGCACAATAAATACGAGTTGACTCAGTGTTGGTCCACACAAGTCTTGCTCATTTGTTCATTACATGAGGAGAGACCTGAGTCAGAAATCACCGAAGAGGAAAGGAGATGATGTCTGGAAACAAGTTGCTGAGGGGAGGAAAAGGAACCGTGTAAAAACAGTGAAAGTGAGCGCCTGGCCACTTGCCTCAGCATCCGGGCCAGTGGACATGGCGGGAAAATGTACCAGTTACTCTATGTATTTGCGTTGTCTCTGATCCTCAGTTTTTCTCACCTCTCAAATGCGGGTAGTATGACTTAGAGCATCTTATGCAAGGCTTGACTGAGATACCATAGTGAGTCTGAGTGTCCATAAATCATTTAAAGAAATGCGATTCTCAAGGAAATTTTTATTGGAGCTCTCTCTTCCTTTTCCACAGAGTAGGAAAGTAATGGAGCAGGCTGAGTGCTTGTGGTGGGCTGTGGATTTTAACATTGAGGAAAGAGGGCGTCTCAATGTAAAAAAAAATGCTGCAATGACTTAGTAAAAATGATTAATATAAATGATCATCCCCTGCACTTCATTCACTTATTTCTATGGTTTCTGGAACTATTTAAGAGAGACCTAAGAGAAAAGGAAACTTGTCTGACTGAAGTGACTGAATAAAGAAATGCCTGTGCTTCCATTTCCTATGTCAGTTCCTCAGTATGAGGGTGCATGCCCCAGCCCAAAGTTCCTGCTTAGTACAGTTTAACTCGTATAAAGCGTCTGAAATGCACTTAGGCACTGCTCAAAGCTTCGATCCTATCACAGCCAGATCACAGTCTGATAGCCACAGACTTGTTTTTCCTCTCTAAGGCCAGTAAGGACTGGGCTACACCAGTCACTTCACATGGTGATCAGAGTCCAAGTTCAGATTTAATCTCTGTTTGTTTCACTTGCCACAGCATTGTCATACCTGGATTTCCTATCCACAGAGTCATTTCTTAAACTACTTTTGGATATTTCCAACTTTCAGAGAAGGAAACAGGGTAACATTGCCTGTAGACTTGGTTTCCCTCGGGTCCTTTTAACAATGGAGCAGAGAATTTGAGCAGGTAGCTGCCTCTCTGAACTGGTGGCGTGTGACTGACTCACAATGTTACCATAAAGTAACTTCCCTCTCTTGGTGATAATGACAAATAATCCCTTCCTATGCCTTTCTAATGATAATCATTGCTATTCTTTATTGAGGGCTAGCCAGTGCTGGGTACTGCACATGATCTCATTTGGATGATCCTGGCAACAGCTCTATGAGGCAGCTGCAATCAATTGTCCCCATTTTACAGACTAAGAAACAAGGGACAGAGTTCAGCTCAAGTTCTCAACTCCTGCATCGTATTACGGTGAGTTTGTCTTGCTGCTTCTATTACATGTTCATTATTATTTTGAACGTGTTGCATTTTTACAAGGCTTTCATTTAATTTTAAAATGAAAAATTGTTGTGGGTGTTTAAGGTAGGGTACAGAAGAGCAGCTCTCCAGGTGGGAAATGGAAGTCTCAATTACAATTTCATTTCATCTAAAGTGAAAATTTTTTTCTTTTACAAAAGGTACAGATAAGTAAGGAGAGTCGAAAAGTTAAGAAGCCTTAAATAATGAAGGCATTAAGATAAAAAAAAATCCTAAAAGGACTGGTCAATCCACTGAGCATTTGCAAAACTGTACAGACTTTTTTGGGGGGAGAGTTGACTATTTATGAACTTCTCTTTCGCTGAAATCAAGAACTGATTTTCAGATTCACGATGTATTTCCTGTTTTCTCAATTCCTATTTACTGAAGAGTCCTTGTTTCAGAAGCACTGGGTTTATGTGCAGTTCTCTGTAGCTAATGGAAATGTTTACTGGGAAGCAGACTTCTCTTCCCTTCTTTATCACGCAAGGAAAGGTGTATGCCAAGGGGTTATCTCCTTGCAAAGACATGACTTGACAGTTTCACAGGCTTCTTCAGGCCAGCACTCTTGAACTCCCATTTTTCTTGGGGATGGTTGTTTTTGCTCCATAGCAGGTCTTCATTTTTTATTTGAGGATAAATGCTAAAAAAAGAATGCTTGCCTGTAAGAGACATGTTAATCAATTGCAGGTAAAAGACCTTATTTTGATCTAGATTCAAATAAACGAACTTAAAGAATATTTGTGGGACCAACAGGGAATATGAACACTAAATATTTGATGATATTCAGCAACTATTGTGATGATGTTTGAAAAGTCCTTATCTTTTAGAGATATGTACTCAAATGTTTGCAGCTGAAGTAATATGATATCTGGGATTTTAGTTAAAGATTTTATTTATTTATTTGAGAGGTAGAGTTACAGACAGAGAGACAGAGACAAAGATCTTCCACCTGCTAGTTCACTGCCCAGATGGCTACATTGGCCAGACCTGGGATGATCCGAAGCCAGGAGCCAGGAACCAGGAGCTTCTTCCGGGTCTCCCACATGGATGCAGGGGCCCAATTATTTAGGCCATCTTCCACTGCTTTCATAGGCCATAACAAAGAGCTGGATGGGCAGAGGAGCAGCTGGGACTCCAACTGGTGCCCATATGGAATTCTGGTCTGAGATTTATTGCAAAACATTTGAGATTGCCGGGGACAGGGAAAATGGGTGGGTTTATGCTGGATTGCTCATTATTTGATTATTGTTAAGATGGATGCATAGGAATGCAGCCTTATTATTATCATTATTTTTTTGCATTTCTTTGAAACTTTCTATAATAAAAATATTCTACGAAATTAAGTTCAAGCCATTAGCAAAATTGGAGAGAGGACCAAGGTGAAAGAAAGGAATGGAGGATATTCCATATTTTTGGAAGACATGAAAGTGAATCTTCGCACAGTTAGAATATAATGTGTGCACACCTGTGATATACTACTAGAGTCTAAAATGACTGCTTAGAAACTTACTTGATCAGAAATAAAAAAGAACCACAGAAGTCCATTACTTTGGTTCTGAATATTTGAGTTTACCCCTTTCTCTCTTCTGTCTATAAAGTGAAAGAAGGGTCTTCATTGTCAGGTGCAAAAATTGATCCGAGGTTATATAAATGCATTTTTTGTAAAAAAAATTTCTATTTTAAAAACTTATTTGAAAGACAAGAAGAGGGAGAAAGTGATTTCCCATTGACTAGTTCATTCCACAAATGCCCACAATAGGCAAGACTGGGCCAGATGAAATCCAGGAGCCTGGAATTTAATCTGGGTCTCCCATATGGGTGGCAGGAACCCAAGTACATGAACTGCTACCCTGCTACCTCCCAGGGTATACAACAATAGCAGGAACTAAAATTGCAAGTGGAGCCAGCATTCAAATCTAGGCACTTGGGTATGGTATGGGAGCATTCCAAGTGACATCTTAACCATTGTACTCAATGCCCATCCTGTAGGGTTTCTTTTTTTAAGATATTATTTATTTGAAAGTCAGAGTTACAGCAAGAGAGGGAGAGACAGAGAGAGAGATAGAGGAGAGAGAGATTTTCACCCCCAAAATGGCTGCAATGGCCAGGGCGGGGCCGGGCTGAAGCTAGGAGCCAAGGAGTTTCATCCAGGTCTCCAATGTGAGTTCTGGGGCGGAAACACTTGGGCATCCTCCACTGCTTTCTCAGGCACATTAGCAGGGAGCCGCATTGGAAGTGGAGCAGCTGGGAATCTGCAGAAGTCCCTGAAAATGGGCACCTGGAAGATGGTGAATTTTTTTTGAAATTATATGTAAATTTTATGCTTGTGAACATGTAAACTTTTTTTTTGTAGAGATGAGTTCATAGCTTTCGTAATAATGTGCCAAAGAATTAAGAATCACTGCCTTGAGCAAACTGATCTATAAATCCCAGACAAGGGGAATGTGAGTCTGAATCTGTCAATAGAAAGTTAACATCAAAGCTGGAATTAGGTGAAGCGTCAGATGATCTAGGTGCAGGGTTCCGGAGTAGGGTACTGTGGCTATGCGCTGGCAAGCTTGTAAACCAGAATCCGTTTCTAGGAGCAGGAACAATATCTGGAACTAAGAAAGAGGAACAGAAAGACACAACAGAGGTAGTCTTTGTAAGCCCCCATTGCTTGAAAAGGAATTGATTTTAGACTTGGGTAAGACACAAAGTTTTCCATTAACAGTGGTGTCTTCCAGTATGAGTTAATGTGTCTGAGCTCCCAAATGGCTGTGATGGCTCCACTTTCCTTTCCAAGTTGCTCACACCTTTGTAAACAATCTGCAAGACGATGTACTTATAATTGATGGACTTCAGCTTTCTATTACTCACACACCCCTATTCACAGCATCTATAAAATTATATCTGGGGCTGGTGCTGTGCATAGTAAGTTCAGCCTCCACCTGTGGCACCAGCAACCCAGATGGGTGCCGGTTTGAGTCTTGGCTGCTTTTTTTTTTTTTTTTTTAAGATTTATTTATTTATTTGAGAGGCAGAGTTACAGAGAGGCAGAAGTAAGAGAGAGAGGGAGAGGTCTTACATCTGATGGTCATTCCCCAGGTGGCCACAATGCTGGAGCTGAGCCAATCCGAAGCAAGGAGCCAGGAGCTTCCTCCAGGTCTCCCATGTGGGTGCAGGAGCCCAAGAACCTGAGCCATCTTCCACTGCTTTCCCAGGCTATAGCAGAGAGCTGGATCAGAAGTGGAGCAACCGGGACTTGAACTGGTGCCCATGTGGGATGCCAGCACCGCAGGCCGGGAGTTTACCTGCTATGTCACATTTTATATGGATAAAATATTTCAGAGTTTCATAGAATGATTCTAAGAGGAAATTCTTGGCTTCCTGTGGCTCTCATATCACTTACTAATATTTGACCACTAAAGATCTAAGTCAGATTAGAATAATTTATCCTGTTTAAAGAACAGTATCTATGAGAAAACTTCAAAAAGTGAATGGTTAATGGGACTGTTTCATATGGAATATTGGATGGATTTATTTTTAAATTCCATTCAAACATTGTGGTAGGCACTGTAAAGGATGCAAGAGAAACAGAAGACAGTGCTGATATTTGCAGTCTTTGGGAAACGTGAAACAAAACAAGGTAATACAGGGCTTCCGGAAACTGCTCTTTAACCATAACTCCACCCCCCACCATGAAAGTAGCTTTCCATATCACTTTTCCTTTCTGTTTGTAAAGAAAATAAATAATAAATAAGTATGTGAGAGAGCAGACATTTCCTGTTTCAGTTGTATGATCTCCAAGAGTCCTTTATTTTACTGCTTAATAGGAAAGTCACGTTCACTCACAGGTGCATTATATAGGGATGAAATTTTCAGGCGGAACCTTTGTATAGGTAGTCATTAAAAAAACCACTGTTCTCAGCTGGCGCTGCGGCTCAATAGGCTAATCCTCCACCTAGCGGCGCCGGCACACCGGGTTCTAGTCCCGGTTGGGGCACCGGATTCTGTCCCGGTTGCCCCCCTTCCAGGCCAGCTCTCTGCTATGGCCCGGGAGTGCAGTGGAGGATGGCCCAAAAGTCCTTGGGCCCTGCACCCCATGGGAGACCAGGAGAAGCACCTGGCTCCTGCCTTCGGATCTCTCTGTCTCTCTCTCTCTCACTGTCTAACTCTGCCTGTCCAAAAAAAAAAAAAAAAAAAGGAAAAGAAATACTTAGCCAAACACACAAAATAAATTCAAACTTGTAGGATAATTTTCCAAGAAAGAAAACAAATGAATTGAAGTAAAAAAATCAAATCCAGGTATAATGATGTAGCGTTTTGTTTCCCAGGTTGCCACAGAAGTGCAGAGAAAGGGATTTTGAGGGAGCCTCTAATGTCTTCATCATTTTCAAAGGATTTCCCACAGCTATGATTCCAGTCCTGTGAATTCTATGAAAGGACATACAGCTGCCCACTAGGTTGCTAGTAGATCTACATAGCCTAGAAAAAAGATGAATGATTTGGTGCAACCTTGTAGGGTAGGCCATGGATTGCTGATAACAAATCATTGTTTAAGTTTTTCCTTTAAGAAAATGTCCCATCTGAAAGTTAAGGATTTGTGGCAAAATTACAAGTGTCTATCACCATCAAAGGCAGCCATGGGAAAAATCTCTGCCAGGCACCACACCAGAGCATGTGGTTTTTCTCTTTTATCCAGTGTTGTGTCCTGGGACCACTTCTTATACAAAATAGATCTTCAAAAAGATCATAGACGGGGCTGGTTTTGTGATGTAACGGATTAAGCTGCCACCTGCCATGATACCAGCGTGTTGAGAGTCCCAGCTACTCTGTTTCTGATCCAGCTCCCTGCTAATATGCCCAGGAAGGCAACAGATGATGGCCCAAGGACTTGGGCCCCTGCCACTCAAGTGGGAGACTTGGCTGAAGCTTCTGGCTCCTGGCTTTGGCCTGGCCTAGCCCTGGAT